AAGAGAGCAGTACATTCTTATTTGATCAGGGACATAAGAAAGTACCTGGCTTGTTTGCCTCTGGTGTGATCTGACTGAAAGGGGGTGTGTCTGCACCACTGTACGCCCCCTAGATCCACTCCTACATAGATAGATAGATAGATAGATAGATAGATAGATAGATAATGTTTGTATATCAACCATATCAATGGTAATATTTCTGCTATTATCAGACAGCTTGCTGCTTGCAGTGCTTTATGTACAAGTGCCTCAGAACAAAATTGGGTGGCTTTAAATGAAATGCTAGCTCAGGTTGGTTAATGGCATCTGGAGTAGGATATTACTCTGGGGAGTATGATTTCTCGGAAAGTTCAAAATCTGGTCTCTTGTCCACGTTCCTGACAAATTCACTGGTGTAAAATGTCATAGGTTGTCCAAAATGATATAAACATGTAGTTCTATCTGGACATGGTTATACACTGCAATTATGCTTCTACTGCATAGCTTAAAATTTGTAATAGATGCATTTAAACTGTGTGTACTTAAGCCATAAAGCAAAGAAGACTTCTCACTGCTTTTAACTATATCCTTCTGTTCTAACTTCTTAGTGCAACAACCTTGGTAATGCCCAGAATTACTAAACTGCAAACATTTAACAGTGACAGCATCATTAAAAGTAATATGTTTGGGAATTTCCTTTTGGCTTTGAACCATTTGCATTCATGTTCATGTTCACACTTTTCTCGAACTAGTTAGAACTAGTAGTTCACTTTTTTTTTCAATAAAAGCTGAGATTTTTGCATAATCCTATAACCCTTCCATCATATGGGACTAAAACATGAAAGACTAGGAGCCTCCACATGAAATTGTGTAAGTTAGCAACATTTAATGTTTTAATTGAAATAGTGGTGTCTCAATGTTCACATGGGTACAAAATCAAGCTAAACAAGTTTACCTTTCCATAGCAAACACTGCAGGAAGATTATCAATTTGATTAAGACACAGGTATGTGAGCCAGGAGATCTGGCTCCTAATGCTTTCTTTGCCTCAGCTTTCCTGTGTGAACTTGAGTAAGCCATTTGTGCCTTAACCGCCCATCTGAAAAATCGGGATAATCCTTATCTGAGTAGTTTTGTGAAACTTCAGTGTATTAATGTCAACTCACAAGCCCTGAGGCAAGGCCCATATTAAGATGAAAAAAAGGGAAAAAAAGCAAAACTCACCTAAGTGCGCACACAGTATAGAAGAGCAAATGGTTAATCTACTTCCCAAGCCTTTTCTCATTTTTTTTGCTTTGTAGGGTTGCCCTTTATTGCCTGGATTAGTTTTTAGGAAAAATCTGCATAGAGGATGCTGCATTAAATATATAATATTTGTTACCACTTAGAGCAGTTGTCTCACCTGTCTTAAAGACAAAGATTAATTTTCTTCCTGGCACAGAAAGTATTATAAAGTAATATGACAATCCATTTGTACTATTAAATGGACACAGGCAACCAGTGACATCCTTTCTGCCTTCCTTTAGGACTAGGGACGAAAATTATACTTAAACCAGTACACATGATCAGAAAATGATTCAAATCTATAACACAACAGAAGTTTAGTGCACATAAACCACTTTCAAAAAGGCTGAAACCAGTTTAAGATAAACCTGGATGGATGGATGTAATATCAGAGTTAACTGCTTTAAATTAATTCAGTTCATTTAACTTCTGTCCAGATTCCATCCCGATTCAAGTTGCCTCACAGTCCCCAAGCATCCTAAGATGCTTTGCACAAGGGCTGTGCAAAGCTTTGGATCATGATTCGGATTCGGAGATGATTTGGATGATTCGGAGGCTGAATCTATGAATCTGAATTGAATCTCTGGAAGTTTTTGGCTTTCTGAATCGATTCAGAGCTTCCGAATCTCTTCAGAAAAGATTCAGAGCCGATTCAGCGATATGGCCATAGAGCATAATGGGGAATCAATGAAATATCTATAACTTTGTTGTTTGTTGTCTGATTTGGATAAAACTTGCAGAGTTGGTAGCCTCTGTGGAGAGCATAAAATCTACTGAGTTTCAAGAAGATTGGTAAAGGGGTTTGTGGGGAACTGCACCCCAAATTCTTGAAAGAGAAACTCATGTCACGTCTATGTCTTACACCACAGGGGGGTGAAAACTGCAGGGATAGTAGCCCCTGGTGAGGCCACAAAGCCTGCTAAGTTTCAAGGAGATAGGTACAGGGGTTTGGTGGAAACTGTACCTTAAGCTGCAGACAAGCAAAACTCATGACATGGGTGCTTGTGCAACTGACTGTCTCTGTCTTGGGGTAGTTGATTGTCTGTATTGATTATTTCCTTCCTTAGTCTATGGTTTTTAGGTGTTAATTGTTGCTAATTAACTGGTTACATTAGCTAGCAACTGTGTATTGAGCTGGTCCCTGAGTGAATCATGATTGATTGGTAACTAGTAACACAGCTTAGCAGCCAGGCCTGCAGTAGCGTTCCCTCCACCCCAAGACAGAGACAGACACAGTCAGTTGCACAAGCACCCACATCACAAGTTTTACCTGTTAGCAGCTAGAGGTGCAGGGCCCCAGAGCCCTCCTGCACCTATCTCCTCGACAGCTAGCAGGCTTTATGGCCGCAGCAGGGGCTACCATCCCTGTAGCTTTCACCCTGCTGCGCCTTAGCACAGACAGTGTCACCCATGTCATGAGTTTTGCTTGTTTGCAGATTGAGGTGCAGCTCCCCCCAAACCCCTGCACTAATCTCGAAACTTGGCAGGCTTCATGCTCTCAGCAGAGGCTACCATCCCTGCAAGTTTAATCCAAATCAGACAAAAAACAACAAAGTTATAGATGTTTCATTGATTTCCTATTATACCCTAGGGCCAGATCTCCGAGGCAGCTCCAAAGCTTCAGAGCCGCTTCAGCCAGATTGAAGCAGAAACCCGGTCCAGAGCTCCGGATCAGATCACTGGTATCCAAAGCGGCTGGATCCAAAGCCGGATTGAATAGCTGCCTATTTGCACAGGCCTACTTTGTACCTCCCCTGCAAAGTGGGTAGGCTAGCCTTGGCCCAAACTGTCTGCTTCAGCCAAACAGCGAGGTGTACTCTAGCACCCCCCAGCTTCTGGACTGGGCTACTGCAATATATATGGCTGCATTTCTAGAATCAAATCTGTTCATTTGCTTATTGGTTCAATCTACACAGCTTAGACTAAACTGTGAAGATTGAATTGATTCAGCCTCGGGCTTTTTGACTGTCTATACTTAGCCTAGGGCTAGAGATAGAAGTTATACATAAATTGGTTTAAGTGATCATAAACTGTAACAGAACAAAAGTTAAGTGGACATAAACCTCTTTCAAAATGACCAAAACCAATTTAAGATAAACCTGGCTGGATGTAGTATCAGACTTAACTGATTTAGGTCAAACCTGTTCATAGAACTTCTGTTCCAGATCCCCTCCTCATTCAAGTTAACTCACAGTCCTCCAGCATCCCAAGATGCTTTGCAGCCCTGGGCTATGCTGTCTACTCCAGTGGAGCAGGGACTGCCTCACCCCACTGTTCCTTAGCCTACTTCCTACTTGCATCCCCCAGCTCATAGGGACGGGGGAGCAGACCCCCAGATCCCTCTAGCCAGGGTCTACACAACATGGTGGGGGAGGGAGAGCCCCTGTGGTGGTGGGGGGGTTTAACCCTCAGTAGCCCTTCCCCTTCCCAACTGCTGAATGCTTCCATCACTGCCACAAGAGGGAGAGAGTGAGAAGGAGTACTCCCAGCCAGGTGCCTGCCCATGCAACCCAGCATGGGGATACCGGGGAGCCCCCACCTTGAGGGCTTTCCCCCACCCCAGCCCAGGGTGCCCCAGCCCAGGGCAGCCCCAGGGAGCTGAGGGGAATTCTTCCCCTCCCAAAACCCAGAGCTGCTTACCTTAGCCCCTGCGAGTTTTAGGCAGCCTCAGGGAGCAGAGGGAAATTCTTCTCCTCTGCAGCCAGGTTTGCCTCAGCTGCTGTGAGTCTGAGGCAAAACTAGTTTCAGGGAAAGGAAGAATTTCCCTCCATTCCCTAAGGCTGCCCCAGACTATCCCTGAGATTCACAGCAGCTAAGGTAAGCAGCTCTGGGGTTCAGAATGGGGGGCTTCCCAAGCTGGGGAAACCACCTGAGGGGGAGACTCCCACAAGTTGGGCCAGCACAGGGGGCTCCTTAACCCTCTGTGAGGGGACAGCAGGGTTTTGGGAGCATGTACTGCAGAGCCAACTGCAGACATTTGGCTGGGCTGGCACAGGCCAACAGGCTGGGAGGCATGCTGTAGCACCCCCTGCCTACTGGCCTGGGTCATTGCAGGCCTCCCCTGCCTTTCCCAATTGAAAACTGGATTGAATTTACTCGTTCAATCTACACAGCTTGGAGGAAGCTGCCTAGATTGAATTGATTCTGCCTCAGACTTTTGATTATCTGTACTTAGCCCAGGAGTCTTATGTAGATATTTTTACATGTTTGTATATATGCTAATAACATCAGGAAGTGCCAGAAACACAATTACTGAAAGGGTGTTGTAGGTGGCAGTTTCTTTCTGGCTTGAAGCTAAATCATAGTTATTGCAAAAAAAAAAAAATATCCCTTCCTTTTTTTTTTCTTTTTTTTGCTTTGGGTTGTTTGTCTAAGGCTTGATTTAAAGAAAATATTTACCTCCAG